AGCGGGATCACGGCCGCTCCTAGGCCCCACTCCGTGACAAGGATCCATAATTCATGATATTGCTATAGATGTCCACAAGCCATTTTGTAAATATAGAGTTGTATGTTTCTGGAACCACATTGTCTCCACCATGAATACTGGACCACACACTTTAATGAGATGACACTTCCAAGTTTCTCTTTTCATGAGACTGAAAAAGCAGTTTTTATATTTATTCTAGGTGTTCTGGCTTTCCTTATTAAAAAAAAATACTTATTACCTGGTACAATGTATCAAGGACCTATTTAGAAAACAGACATTTGGGAAGAACATTCACTTTAATTATACTGAAGTGTCCAATTAATGGAGGAGGCAAATGGGCCAATTTATATTAGTCTCATCTTGCTTAATAAAGGGAATACTGTTGTTCAAAGTTAATTAGTATTCCTTGCTTGTGAAGAATATTCCAGGTAATTAAATTTATCTGAACTAAATTAATCACAACTTGTTCCATAATCCCTCCTCTCAATGAAAATATTATAGATTTCTCCCAATTTATCAAACCGTAGTAAAAGAATACTCATTATAAAAGCAGCACTGCTCAACGGAACAGTTTGCTGAACATGAATCACAAAATAAAAAGTTGTAAAGAGATATTATTTGCCTATCTTTGCCAAATTGGACTGCTTCTCTGTGGGACATTTCATAGTAATGAGCCAAGGCCTGCCTAGATATTGTAACAGAAGCAGCAATAGAGAATACTGCTGAGGGGTCACTTTTGCTCCATGGAATGTATTTATGTTCCAGGCTGGTCTATACCAGTAAGGTTAAGCACACCCTCAAATTCATTACTGTGAACAACTGGTGCACCACAGTGGATTATTTCTGAAACAAGTTTTAACCCATCTGACCAGTATTTTAGCTACTATTTTGCCATCGTTACTTAAGAAGGGGTGTTAGATAGAAATCTCCCCTTTGTTTAAATACAAAGTATATGGCTGCCTTTTGCTAATAAACTCCTTCTCAAAAGATTCACAAGATGTTTCTATACACGTAATTTTTGAAGTGTGAATGCAAACAAATTCAGTTGGAGATTTCCTAAAGCTTCAGGGTTTTTTGCCCCATTTCTGCCAAGACTGTCATCACTAAACTCACTGTCTTTGGTAGGAACCTTCACTGCCTCCTTAGCTATTAGGCCATTGCTTGGTTATTATGTGGGGAAGATAAGTAAAAATATATAATTGATTTCTACCCTGTAATTGTTTAAACTTGGAGGTTATTACAATACACAGCAACATTCTATGCCTTAGTAGGATAGGAATGTCAGTATTTAATTCAGCAGTATTATAAGATTCTTTAAATGACTTGCCAACCCTCCCTCCCCTCTCCCCTGCTTCTCCCCCCATATTTGAATATCTCTTGCATCAAGGTAGTGGTATCTCCCAAATCTTCAGGTCAGTAAGAAATGCCCCCCCAGTTCTAACAGAACTCTGGGGAGAGTACTAACAGAATTCTCCCCAGTATCCTCTGCACTGATTTAATTTAGATTCAGGCAGTGTAGGTTTCAATCAGTACTTTTAAGTGTTGAAAACTCAAGCAATTCCCTGAGTAATTTAAAGCAGCTAATAATCAGATGCTTCTAATTTTGGGTGGGAGAGCATCTTCTAATGACGCCAGAATCTACAATGTTCTCTGAGGGTGCAGGCAGATGTACCAACTGTAATTTGCCATATTTACTTGAATATAAGAAGAGGACTTCCTCCAGTCAACAAGTGGGGAAGAGCCCCCTACTCTTACATCTGCATACAAGGAAAGCACGTTAAATATGTTGCCTATCTTTGAGCTGCTCATGATCCTTTTGACTTTGGACTAATAACACGCACAGTTTGTACTATGTATAACTAGGTGCCAAAGTTCTACTTAAAAGATGTGTTTATGGAATGCCTGTGCTAATGCTTGTATCAGTTTCAAAGAAGGTAAAATGAACCATTTATGGGTGAACTTAGTCTATGACAATTATATGCAGATTGCTACAGGTATGTTTATTAAAGTTCATTTTTTTTCAAATTTGTTCCTCACTTCCATGTGCTCTGGGAGAGCAGGGTCTGACAGTAATGGGGAGAGGAATGACTACAAGAGGAAGCAGCTGGGGTAAAGGGACTACCTGACCCTCTCAGATCTTTTTTCCCTGCTGTTGCAGTAAGAGGGAGATGAATTCAAGACAAACGTCCAATAATTAGATTTTATACCTGGAAAATTATAACCAATATATAAATTTTCCATATACAGGATCTAATTACTAATTACTTCGATTTCAGTAAATATGGTAAATCAGAGAATACAGTACTGATATAAGCTATTATGAAGCAATTGTTGTATTGCTACAGAGTCACAGACATACAAGTATAGCAAAAAGACTCCAACTTAAACACTGCTCCATTCACAGTCAAAGTTTAGGCAATATAGCTCAGCTGGATCACTACAGACTTGTGTAGACTAACAGAGCCTAACAACCTGGCTTGCTCCCAAGAAGAAGCCCCCCTCTCTCCAATAAAAAGTACTTTAGTCAATCCCTTATTGTGGTACATGTGCTTTTTGCTCAGACGCTCTGCATAGGTTTCTAACACTGACTCAGTAACAAAAGGAAGATGAGACCCAATGTAGCAAGTTAATACTGCTAGATTTGTGGCCAGAGCAGAGACTCCAATATGGTATTATTATTTTCTGATAGAAAAGAGGGTAAGCAGGAGAGAGTCGCATACAAAGGGCCATACCTGTCCCAGACATCATGTTCAAAATAGCAATGCATCTCTGAAGAGGCTGAACAGCTGGGTACAACTACTATTTAGTGCTGTGCAAACATGGCTCCTCTTTTTAAGGCAAGAGGCACATTTATAATCAACAGAAAAGTTGCAAATGGGTTGTGTCTGGCCTTCTGCTCCCCTGACAAAGGAGAACAGGAGAGGGGAAAAAGAGCAGAGGATTAAGATGCTGAAGACTCAAGGACGGGAGGATAAAAAAAAAAAAATCAGAAGAGAAGGAACCTGAGATTTTCTTTTCCCAATAAGATGAAATACAAACATGTTTCTCCAACAAGGCTTTCACCCTCCAGAATCATTATTAGTAGTCTAAGCAGACTCCAAACCTCTCCTCATTTTCTGATTTAAAAACACCACCACCATCACTTTATTTCAAACGCCTGGGCCTAGAACTCTTATACTTGCACAAAAGTTAAGTACTTCATTTCTACCTTGGAATCAGTAGGTGTCAGTTTAAGTCTCAACTGTATCCAAGAGAGGTGGGGAAAAGCTCACTTTAGATAAGCACACATGGACACATTTGGAAGTATAAATCAAAGATCCATAGCTGGATTTACCCAAACTGACCCCTTTCCTTCTCAGAGGTCAATAAACTATGAAATAGTACTTTTACACGTATTTTAATATGGAGCCTACCTGAAAGTCCTGATCATCTATTCCAAACCTCTCTCTCAGGTTGCGGAAAACCATGGGACAATATTCCTTAAATTTGAAATGACTTGGCATGTTTTCTCTGAAATAAAATAAAAAGCCAAGTGAAATTCACATTTAATTCAATTAACTCTGGACAAGTTACATCTGAAACTCTGGCACAGAAAAAAAAAGAATCAAAACCACTTTATACAACATTTATCTCATATCTCCACTCCCCCTTCCCGCATTTTCCCCCAAAGCAGCTCAGTAATACTCCCAACACACTATTTTCCTGGTCAGCACTGGTGAGGCCTCACTTGGAATACTGTGTCCAG